TTGAGCTGTTAGCCAAGGTTGGTAGCAAGGTTTTATCAAAAGTGTATAGCAAATAGAGCAGATTATTCTTACAATTAGTTTAGAAGCAATGCCTCGGATATTTTGACACTATCGCACTCTCACAAAAGCAAAGAGTTGTTCTTTTCACTTTCCAGGCATGAAAAATGCTTTTTTTAAGCTATCAGGTGAAACTGTCCCGGCACTACATGTCTGAGTTTCTCTTGCCTATTGGTCAGATAAAAATTCGCAGCACTCCCATCCACTCTATAAATGTTATAATTCGACAGTTTTCTAAAGAGCAGCCTCCTTTATAGTATTAGTAGTCACCAATTTCACTATTTTATTCAACTGCTGAGAAAGGTCGAGGGTAGGAACCCTGAAGTCAGAATTGTTTATGAGAGAATGTCTTCACCATACGTTCTACCCACTTCATATTTCCATAGAGCATTGATTTCCATGTCTTCTATTCATATGTATAGTATGCTGCCGCCATGTGTAAACGTCCATTATTTTTCGCTAGCACATCTGTTTAGTATCGTTCACTTATGTCTTCTCCGCATATCGCATAACTTTGAATGAAACTTATCAAACGATCCCCCTTATAATCACATCTGTGCTCATGAGAATTCCCCATTTCACAGTGTACATCTTCCCAGCGCGGTGTGTATGAATAAGATAATCGTAATGCAATCAACTAGCTTCTTCTTCTGCTTACAGACGGGTTCCGAATGGCGGCTGTGGCGCAGTCGGGAGCGCGAGAAGCGCTGTCGGCTTATCCGACGTCGCCAATCGCGGCCGCCTGCGATTCGCCGTCGCTCGCTTGCGGCGATTCACCATCGACAACGCGAAGTCCACGATGTGAAGCGTTTGTGATGACCGGCGACAAAATACTGAACCTCAATCATCATATCTCACCCAACTATGCCAAGGTAAGCATTTCATTGGTTTTACATTTCCGTTTATTTCAATATTTTATAAGGCTGGGAGAGCGATAGTTTTCTCCCGATGAATCCTGTAAACCTTCATTGAATCACTGGTTCTGAGCGATTAGTTGAGAATTTCTAGAATTTACTTGAACAAACAAGGATAGGAGGTCAGAATTGCTGAAAAGAATTGAAAATATTAGGAAAATGTGCGCTTAAGTGGATTAGCACTACTTCAATAAATAATTTTGGCAAGTAGTAAGTCCTGGTGCCAACAATTGCCTTTCTTTTTATGAAGGAAAAATCCTTTGCATTATTGCAGTTTTCCTTGCAAAAAAAAA